AGTAGAGTATTGTTTGTTGTAATCTGTTATTATTAACAATCTACGTCTATCAAAACCGATCAATTCCATATTATTGGATAGAGGCCTTGATGATGTCCCAAAGGAGACGTTATAGAGTCCGAAACAAAACTGTATGATTGAGAAGTATCTAGAATGTCGGCCAGTCAATGTGTTCAATAGAGTCTTTAATATCAAGATTTATTCAATGAGACTTGCAGACAACCAACGTCTTCGACTAAGGATTCAAATATTTCGACACAAGAATAACATGGCAGTGTTACTAAGGGTACATTTCGGTCTGTGCGTAAACCTGTACTGGCATAAAAATTGAGCTCGATTTGAATTGAAACGATTAATGTCTAATATACATGGTAAAGTGATCACACAGTTTTGACCACAGTAGATCGTTACAAATCGAATTAGTCTATCCTTTACCTTTAAAATGAAATATTGGGAAAATAAAAGCATAACGCTGAATCACTACTGTAAGTGCTATTGGCAGTCGATTATTTTTTTAATGTATTGTTTCCTTTGAAACTCGACAATGTGCACTTGTTTATCCAAGTTTAATACATAATCTTACAAAACTCAATTTATACCCACCTATGTGCATACGAGGACAATATTTAAGTGCGGATGTACATTTAAACTCTCTTATAAACCATAACTTAAAATCAGATACGGTAAAATTTCCGGCAATTTACCCGATTTTTAGGATGTTGGGTCAGGGCGACTAATCGCGAAAGTTTTTCAAACATAATTTTTGTATCATATGAAAATAGCTTTTATTGTATTTTATGTTAATACAACCCAGTATTATCCGATTGCTAGTCATATAGAGCGTGTTATAGTAATTGCTATGTGAAAAGATAAAGTAGGTTTATTTGTTAGTGTTAATATTGTTACCTCGAGGTAAATTTATTAATTATTATAACAACATATTCTAATTATTGTTAGTGTACTAATATAAGTGGTTTTATTTGTTGATATTAATAATATTAACTTTATGTTTGTTAATTATGACAAATATTATTGAACTCCTATCAATGCTATTATTGTATCAGATGTAGAGGTACAACCCCACTAGGATAAGTTATTGTCAAAATCAACTAATTCAATTAAACTTTCTGATATTACGGAGCTCTAAGTGGATAAGTCGTAATGAACACAAAGTTTTTTTTCCTTTCAAAGGGCAGGACTAAAGCACATCCACAAAAGCAATCCACGACACGGTGTTACCAATCAATGCTGGTCCTCACACCATAGAGATTACCAGTTGCGTATGGCTGCGAATAACGAAAGTGTTCGACTGTTATAATAGTAAAAACACATTTACTTGAGAAGATTCTTTCTCTCATAAAAGTCGAACGCCATTTTTACTCCTGTCAATCTTGGCACAATGCGATTTTGTCCACATCTATAAACAATGTCACAGTTTAATAGTATTTAATTGAAAGTAAAAAGAAAATTGATTCGCCTTTTCACCACTTCAATCAAATTCTATCTCAGTATACACTCGACATGTCAATGTTGATGCCACTGTGACAGAATTGGCGGCTTGATAATGGCAAGCAAATACTCATTTCCGTCTGGTCATATGAGACTCAATAGCCCTTGTTATCAATTTTCTATACATTGAATTCTCCATTCAAATCTTGTAATTTTTGATTAATTCCATCAATTTGAGTCATTTTCATTAAATTAAAAACTATAGATATTAGAATTATCTAACCTCTGATGGACGATAATCCACCGCCATTTTGTGTTTCGTATTCCTTTCGTTGATGGTTGGGAATACAGCTGACAATATAGCGTTAAAATATTTTTCAAAATAACTACAGATGTTTATCGCAATATTAAGATTTGCTCTTAATTTCTTTTAACTTTTTTTTTAAATTTCCATTTCAGAAGCAATTTCAACATACAGGTTTTTCTCTAACCTCCTCTCTCTGAGTTGTAAATTAAAATGTGATTTCAAAGATATCTTTTTCATTTTCCCCTTAAAATGAACAATTTTCACTCGAGAGAGTACACGTATGTAGATTGAATTGACCTTCAAGAACAGTTTTAATCAAAATAGACCTTTGTAGTGAAATGTATGTGGTTTATGTGAAATAACAGTTAAGTTTAAAAGGTTCTCAACAAAGGGTCACATTATTTTACATAAATGATTTTCTAAGAGTTATTTATGTTAATATACATTTACATTTTCAGTGATATTAGGCCCATATTCGAAACATCGACCCAACGTCTTTAATATGGAAAACAGTGTTTAATTTAGTATAATACCGATACAATGCTGAAGGAAGCTCTGTGATAAAATGTTCGTCAAAAGATACACAACCATATAATACTTTCATAAAGAAAACTTAATAACTGCATAACCAAGTTTTTAAATAGAATCATGGAGCTGAGTTTAAAACTATTCTGACGTGTTTGTTAAGATAAAGATATCTGGTAGAATAGAACAGTTTTTTGTAAGCTTTTGTGGGTTGTTCTTATCATCATATGTGGCAGATCTAATTAAATTACGGAGAACAATTGTTATTCAGTTTTACTGGAGCATCCCCGTGGAATACGACTTTTTATCTACACCCATATCTCCTTCCTGAGATCAAAATCCATGCAGGATCTTTTAACCTAAAAAATAGTGTCTTAGTCTCCTGAGGTTAAAAAAATACTTTTAATTTTCTCTCAAAATGATGAAAACAGATGTGCTCTTGTAGTGACGTTAATTCGTGGTATATACTCTGCTTAAGTGACCTTTTTGTAATATTAGTGACATTTGAACCATATTTTATAACTTATTGTAAGCTTCAAAATAACTCTCAAAAGTTGAACTTTTAGAGAAATACAATTACATGCCATTACAATTTTAACAAAGCTTCCAAATTACAAGGAAATCTCTGTGTCTGCCAATGGATACAATAATCGTTGTACCAAGAATACTCTTAATTTAATTTAATAGAAAAAACACTATTATGAAAAGGTCAGATAATTCCTACCCCTAGCTATTAATTTTGCAACCGGCTAAAATATTTTAGTGAGCAATTTTCGGGAATCACAGACGCTGTGAGATAGAATCAGATATAGAGTTTATATGTACCACAGATAAACTTATGAAAAATTTAAACAAAATCTTCACAATCCTATTTATTAGTGATGTAGATACATGTAGTTTAATGATAAACATGCTCCTTTTGGGGTGCAAAAAGCTAAGGCTAATGCGGTTGAAAGATTTTCCATCATTTCGCAATAAATGACGTTGCCTGTCTTTACTTAAACTAAACTTGGGTAGAAAAGTTGGACGTCGTAACAAATATAAATATGATTGTGAAGAAAATATCATAATAAATTACATGTATATAGGGCCCAAATTTTGGCTTTTCTAGTGGTTATCTCAAGTTGTAATAAGAAATTTGTGCCTCCAAATGTCTGGCAAAATAACTTTTAGTGGAGACAGTATTGTTTTCCAACCGCCCTGAGCAGAATTAGTATACGATTGATCAGTTAGTTATTGTCATTTGATTGTATTATCTATATTAATAAGCCTCATAGCAGTAGTAATAATAGAGCTATTTTTTATAGTTAAAAAGAGAATATTTAATTAGAAATAAACAGACAATAATTAATATTGAAGGTAATGGAGATAGGAATGGAAACCGTTAGCTTCTAGCAGGAACCAACGATTTTTCCTGATTACATATTAAAGCCCTGAGTATCAGAGTAGAATAAGCGCGTGCCCAGATTGTTACAGTGCTGGTGATGTGAAGTCGAGATAGTCGGAGGAAAAGAAGGAATCGGTCACACTAGGTAAGTTAAATTATAACATATTTCTTAATTTCTATATATAAGGTATATGTATATACATACAATATATGATCGTTTTCAATACGTATCAATTTCTCTTGAGAATGGAGTGAGAGGCGCGTGGTGATAAGGCATAAAGGACGCCCACTAGTTGTGACTGGTAAACCATTATTACTAATTTTTAATTTCTACTAAAGGTTGTGTCCATTTCAAATTGTGGCCACATTGAAATTGCCTCATTTAAAGAGATTACAAGACATTGATATGACCATTATCTATATATTTAAAATATCGTCTTGCTGACGAAGGCGGACAAGGCGTCATTGATGCCCATATTGTTCTCTTTTACATAATAAGATATAAATGTTCCATCTGCATTGTTAATTATTCTAATTGATTTCCTTATTTTGTCCATAGGTGATAGTTTTATTCTTAGTTTGGCAATAATTTATAAATTGACGACATCTATTCTTAACTGCTCACAACCAAGAATGAAATTCTCTAAAAGTCGATTATCGTTATTAAAAGTTATCTGTAATAACCTATACACTCTCTGTATAGACATTTAACATAAGTGACACCTTTAACTCCCAGTTCAGGTTGTTTATTATCCACTGTTATCTATTGCATCCATCTTATTAGATGGTTGAGTGCAAATCATTCAAGATGGAATAAAAAGTAGGCTATAAATATAATAAAGTTCGAATCAATAGTTCTTCATTATATTAACAATAAAAACCTTAATTGCATAAGGCTAACTTCACAGGGAATATCAGGACAAAACGTACAAAACGGGATACTTATTTAGTCGAGAAGTCTGAAAAAGGGAAATTTTGTACCTCAGATTGATTTTTACAACGAGTTTTTTTATCAAGTCTTTCTTCCGGTACGTAAAAGCATATTAAGTAGGTGCTAAGTTAGAACTATTTGAAAACAATAATGTCAGGAGAAATGTAGACATGTAATGAAAATTATTCAATTAATATTTAAAAAACGAAAACGGGCTACTGGACTAGGGTCAAATAATGTAAAATTACATTTTTTCATTTCAGAAACTGAGAAAAAAGGATCAACCAAGAATTCAGAAAATGGAAGAGATTATCGAAGAATACTGTAACAAATCCACATCCGATCTCAATAACTGTACACTTGAATATGAACTAAGAGCTGATTCGTTTGGGTTGACAGTGGAAGCGGTCCTGGTACCTTTGATATTTACTCTTATATTTAGTTTTGGCTTGATTGGTAACATCCTGCTTATTCTTTCATTTGTAAAGTTTAAGAAGTTGAATGCACCACACAATATATTTGTCATCAATCTGGCAGTTGGTGATCTTATTATGTTGCTGGTTTCTTTACCCTTTAACTCAACGTGGTATACGGTACCTTACTGGCCGTATGGACTGGTTATCTGTAAGCTCAGCTTCTTCATTGAGACTCTAGCAACGGCTGTAACAATTGGTACGATCACTGTATTGAGCGTGGAACGATTCTTTCTGATTTCTGGTAACAGATCAAATAACAAGAAACAATTTGCAATTATTATAGTAACAATAATTTGGACATTGTCTATCATACTAGCTTTACCAGATCTAATCTCGGCTACAACTGTGGTGAAAGAACACAGTGGTAAGACATGGGAATATTGCTATTCCTTCGCACCATCATGGGGTGTTGTTTATCCCAAGGTATACACCATGATGAGATTCCTGCTTCTGTTCATCATACCAATCTGTTTGATTTCACCTATCTACTTAGCTATAGCTTATAATATCTATTTTAAGTCTGTAACTTCCAAATACCCTTCAATGAAAACGCCATTGAGGAACAACTCGGTAACGAACGCTACACCAGGAAAATGGGACAGAGAGTCAACAATAGACAAACGAAAACGATTAGCTCTAAGCGTGCTTGGGTTAGTGTGGGCTTTTGTGTTGTGTTGGTTACCGCGTCATATTTACCTACTTTGGTTTCACTTCGATCCAAACGCCTTTGATCATTTCTGGCACGTGTTTAAAATTGTCGGCTTTTGTTTGATGTTTTCTAATTGCGCTGTGAATCCAATTGTGTTTTATATTCTTGACAAGAAATTTCGACAATATGTTCATTTTATATTAAAATGTCAGACTGGGGAAAGAACTTTAGACAATAATACAGTTCCTGATGGTCAAACATTGGCAATGACAGAAATACAACCTACCGGTGCAACCAAAGCTGAAGCTGTTTGAAAGTAGGTCATCTGAACTGTACCAAGTAACTGTTAATAAATTATTTCAATACTCATTACTGTACTCTGGAAAGGATGACGGTAGCGCCCACACTCCTTCTCTAACGTTATGTATCAAGTTTACTTGTTCCATGCTACTAAAAATTGACTATGTATAACAGTTCAAATATATTGATATATTTATTTCACTTGTTTTCTTTGTCGATGTGTTGAATTTTTGAAATACATGTATTAAAATATTATAATAATTTATTATATAATTATTGTATTGTTGATGGTGTTATATTAAAGATTACATCAATTCTATTATTTTATATCTTCTTTTTAGCAAATAAATACATTTCTTGTATCGTCGTTTGCAACACCTTAATGACATATTGGAGCCTATACAGTACACTTCATAGTACGCTTCTGATCAAGGTCGTAGCATACTGGAGGCAAATGTTCCATCTTTGAAAAGACACTCTAACCCCCTTAACCTCATATTATCTTGCACTGTGTTATAGAAATTTATTTGATTAAACATATCCGATATAGAGTATATATATAAACAGAGTCTTGTCAGACGATGCTACAGCAAGATAGCAACTGAATACATTGTATTTGAGTTTGCCTGGAGAATGGAATCAAGTATGGTTTCCCCACTAGAAGTAAAGATTATATGGTACAAGAAGGTTGTAAGGATCTGTTGAGATAAATGTCAATATAAGATATAAATGAAAGTGTGATTAAACTCAATAGATTTCATCGAAAAGATGAAATTCAAATCGAAAAGTCATTTTAAAGACATTGAAGGCTTCAAAAGTACATGAAGAAGTAGTTATTTCTCAACTTCGAGTCTTACCGATTTTTCATTGTTCCTTCAAAATATTGGTAAAGTGATTGAGGATCTGAAATCAGCTTTCTGATGCAAGTGAACAGTTCATTGATTGCTATACTAGTACGTGTACTTTCAATAATTTAAACCATTACCAATCATCATGAAGATGGTTTTGTTCTCTGAAAGAGTCACACTAACTTTCATAACAATAGGTGTCTTGCTTCAGGAGCAACTTTTATCCTAAAACTTTATTGTTTAAAGGGACAATCGTACCTTAGTTGTTGTTAGCTAAATCAATCGTTAATAGTGTTCACACGTCACCGTCGAAATTTGAGCTTTCAAATCCATCCATTTCCAGTAGGCTAATTCTGAAGACTATCTACATTTTCAAGACTCAAATCAACCCCCAAAAAATGGCGCATCAATATCGTTAAAAGCTGATTAATTCATTCCATGATACAAAACATGACAAGTCATGGAAAAGATAAAATAAACTAGATAGCATGACAGAAAGGTGTGAATGGATTTCCGACAAGAAAATTGAATTTTATGACATCTGCTTCCATGATGATCTTTGCTTGGATATTTAAACATTTGACAACAATATGCTAAAATACTCAGTATTTGTAGAACACGGAAAGAAAAATAAACGTGATCGAGAATCTACGATATGAAAAAATTCAAAACCCGATGGACCACGAATCGCTGAATACATCAAAGTGGAACCATAAAAGCCAGTCTCAAATCGCATGTCTAAATATTGGCGATAGGTGTATTTGATTATAGTGTATATTATGTTTATATTATCCCCAAATGTATGAAATATAATAATCAGATATTGCTGTAACCAGACACTTGTAAGATCTAATTAAAGAAACATTAGGCTAATGTATCAATAAACTAATTCTATTACATATTTCAGCCAATAGAGTTATCACAATTTTCGCCTTCTCAATTTTGTTTTCGAACAATTTCTAACGTGGAAAATGCTCTAGTCGTTCGGGAGAGTTCCAAATGGTTGTGTTTCCCGTTTAATTAGCATCAAGTCTTATGTTCGGAGAGGTAGAACGCAAAATTCCAATTCATTTATAAAAAAAAATTCAAAGAATTCATAAAGAAATTTTATAAATCTAGAAATTAAATCACTCTCAACATCAAGACGACATTTTTTTGTCCAGATTTGTAATTTTAACAGAGTAATTCATCAATTTGTCATGAAAGTTAATGATGCGATACATTCATTTCCTTTATTTGTTTTGTTCATTGGAAACATTTTCATTATGAAGCTCTTGATTCACTAGAAAGTATTCATCTCTATCACATTTTACAACGTAAATATCAAAATTCTCGTTTAAACTCCAAAATGTCTCGCCTGAAAATCATTTTATGAACATTACATCTTCACGGTTGATATTGATGAAATACTTTTGATATTAATTTATATCTTAAATCATAATCACAAGTCTCAAATAACAAGACAGGCAATTTATTTTATACTCATGTAATATTTACTGATGATTTATCCTAAAGCATGTTTTCCTGGTTCTTGTGCCAGTATATATAGAATTAAATGTTTGAACACGAACGGAAATTCATTAAAGCTACACATATAGTCTTCAGATAAAAAATTCACCGGAATTTCATAAAACGTCACAAAAACTAATCTGAAAACCTTTGCACCTTGCTCCGTGCTATACACACAATGTGCTGTGCTGTGTACACATTGTGCTGTGATATGTTCAAATTGTGCTGTGTTATGTAAACATTTGTGCTGTGCTGAGTACACATTGTGCTGTGCTGTTTTAACATTGTACTACGCTGTGTTTATATTGTACTGTTATGTGTTACATTGTACTGCGCTGTTTACAATGTGCTGTGTTATGTGAAAATTGTGCTGCTCGGTGTTAACATTTTGCTGAAATGTATTAACAATGTGTGTTGTGCTATGTTCACATTGTGCTGTTCGGCGTTAACATTGCACTGTGCTGTGTAATATTTATATGTAATAACCTGGAAATTTTACAATTTTAGGAACCCAGGCGGTCGCTGAAATCATCCAGCTGGTAAAATTTGGTCTAAAATTGAATTATCTAAATTGATTTTCCAAATCATCCTTGAGTTCTTATTGGTGAATAAAACTGCCGTAATATACGAGGAGATGCCACGGCGAGGGCGGTCAAAGCCAGAAGAAATGAACCCGTTATTTAAATCGGGGTTCTAAACAATTTAGCGGCACTTAGTGGAATCGCCGCCCGCTATAAATAATACGAAAACAATATAATTAACTACTGTGAAAATATTCTAGAATAAATTGCACAATTGTCGTGCTTTCATGATTTCTTCAAATATAAATTCAGTTGAGGTCTGAGTTAGAGTAATGTTTGAAAAGAAAATGTCTGAAGCGGAAAATTTAGAATCGAAGGTTCAGATAGAGATTGAAAAATGTAGACACAGACCTTATAAATGTGTCACTCTGATGCAAAAATGTTGTTTCAGTTACAAAACAGAATAAAGAGACGATTTGTCTTAAGTAATTTTCTAAAGACAGCATCCACAAACGGATGAAACAATGTCTGAAAGCACGGAAATCCGTTAAAAAAAAGCTCGTAAACGCCGCTTGTCTCCTACACATATTATTATATTTCCATCAAATATATGGTATAGGCATGTTACAATAAAATTATATATAAGTAATTTTTTCATATTTTCAGACATTATATACAATTCTTTTAAAGATGGGTTCCCTTATTTTCATTTCTGAAAGTGAAAATGCTAATACTTGTTTATACAAAATACAGGTGTTCTTATGACTTGGAAAAATACTAATTTGTCTGACATGTCTATAATTAATTCATAATTAGCTAAATTATAAGAGAATTACCAGCAGAATTCCAATGAGTGACCGATTCAGAAAGGTCAAAAAGTCTTTTTTTTTATCCAGACTGTATATACATGGACATGATGATTGGTAAAAACTCCCTATTATATGCAATAAGAACTAAATGATATGATTAAGAGTACATGATAATTCATTACAAACACCAATTAATCAAATAGTTTGCTTAATTTGGCACTATAAAATAAGGAAACCCATCTCTAACCTCCATTTATCTATTTATTCATTCATGAACATTGCCTGATAATAAGCTATAAACAAGGGCGCAATGTCTTTCTGAATCTCTTTTAATTTGGACAGGATGCTAACACATACCTCATTTCCTCTAGATTATTATTTCGATATTGACAATAATTACAGACTTATTAAATTCTTCTTTTCTTTCAGTACTAACTTTCTCAACCTTTTAGTTGTTAGTTACCTTTACAATTTTCTCAGAAGTATTCCCTGCTATGTTCGATAGTACTGCGAGGGCATTTACATTAAAGGCTATATCTTCAGAAATCCGTAAGAGCAAATTTAAAAACTTGATTGTTTTAAGTACATAGGCTACAGGGACTCGATTTATCTGAACATACCCAGATCACAAAATCGAAAAAAAACTATACACATGTATGATCGACTAAATATTCATAATCATAAACTTCAATAGATGTTTAAAAAAGGACACGCAATGAACATAAAGTAAGACAAGAATAGAACAGAATAGGTTGAAATAAAATAGAATAGGTTGAAATAGAATAGAATAAGTTGAAATAGAATAGAATAGGTTGAAATAGAATAGAATAGAATAGGTTGAAATAGAAGAAAGTAAGCCGAAGGTAATAAAGCTATTAATTATAGTCTGTAATAATAAATAATTATAATCAAATAATCGACTGACAGATAAGTGATTAACTGGCTAAAGGGAGATAATTCATCTTAGAAATCTGACATTTATTTGGGAAGGCAGGGATTTTATTGAGCTTTTATCAATGAAAGAATAAATATAAATATAGCAGTTTAATATTTTAATGCCTAATTTGATATTGATATACTAATATAATAGGAAGACTATAGGCTATTTTATTTCCAGTGTTTCTTAATGTGGTCGATGCCAGACAGTCGCCATGATGTATTGACTATACCATATTAACTTACTGTATATACATTGCACACCATCAACGGGCCATTATATAAAACCAGGTCATTAAAGGAACACCTTCACTATCCGTTACCTTAGTTTCAGAAACAGAAAAGATTTTAGCTTACATAATCAGTAATAGTGTTCACAGCTCATTCTTGAGCCTTCATATGCACGTGTATCCATAATTATTCACGTTTGAAAGTTAAAAAGTTGACTCGAATTTCAGTGGGACTATGCCATATATAGAAAACACATATATAGAAATAGACAGTGAAATTTCTAGTTTGAAGTATATTTGAATTGATTATGCGATTTTCGTGCGTTTTAGTACTTCTTAAGACTATTAAAGCACATTCAAGACCCAAATCAATCCCTTTAAACGCGAGCCACCCACCCAAAAGATCCAGATACTAACTATCTAGTCTCCATATATCATATACACCAATCACGATTACTGTTCATAAGACAATGGAACAGCTTAGAATACATAATAAATTATACTTCGATACTGTAGGCGATCCCTTAATAAGACATGAGTACATCTGGTATAAGTACGATGGAGATGAAACGAGTGCCGTAGCAAATAATTAGTTCTAGTTCTAGGCAAAACTAAAAATTGCTGTATTTTATTTTCAGATTGTCAATAGACCTAACCATTTCATTCGTTCCAGGAAGATGAAATGAGACTTTTCAATTCTTAACAGATATAGATAAAATGGTCGGTTTGTAAAGATGTATAGATGGTTTAAATGCTGTTAATGCAGCCTTGTAGGTTTTTGTCCTACCATACAAATTGATAATATTGATTCAGGAGTCTTTCCTTAAGATATCAGTAAGTATTTCAATACATATATTATTTTTACCTAACGTCGTCTATAAACCTTTCATATACTCACCCCCACTTCCGTACATAATTTACATACTATATATATCAGAATAAATTGAGAGAAAAGTCAACATGAATTTTGACAAAAATGGAAAAGAAAACGTAATTAAGAAACAGACGTCAATAAAACAAAATAACATTTTTAAGAAAAGCTTTTAACTACTGTTTAACACCAATTAGGCCGTAAGCCATTTTAATTGAAATACTGAAAGTAGTTTGATATCCTCTATTGATAAATACCAATGGCCAAAATAACACTGAATGGTCGATACTGAAATATCTCAAGTTATAATAGTCGCTTGATGTTGTTTGATATACTAAACATCGAAATCAAATCGTTCCTTTTTGAGGAAATCGGTTAGCGCATCGAGATTCATAATGACGCCATTCGCTTTCTTACTAGCCTAATGGTGGTCGTGGGTTCCAAACTCGGCGCGTGACAGTCTTGTGACCATAGATAAGTAATATGTTCTTCAAAGCTAAGAGGTTTGGCCAAAGACCAGTTGGTAGAAAGGGTGCTCGTGAATCTAGTAAACCTTGTTAAATATCGGTTCTTTATGATGATAAACGATGTTACAATCGTCTGATTTACTGCAATCATGAAACTATCTCATGATAAAGATCTTTACAGCAATAGAAAATTAAGAAAAATTTACTGCTTTAAAAATTTACCCGATCGCAGCAGGGATCTGTCTCTCTTGGACACAGTGTGGACCTGTCTCTCTCAGACACAGTGTGGACCTGTCTCTCTCGGACATAGTGTGGATCTGTCTATTTCGGAATTTCATTGACTTTCTTTTTGAAACTGCAGGGAATAAAACCAATAACTTACATGTTTGAACTTAAATTATAGAGACTTAACCTAGAGACTACGACTAATACTTTGATAGCCAGGGCAATATTGCCACTAAAACCCCGCTAAGAACATAATCGACACTTGTGCCAAATAGCTCATTTCACATCTTAAGGGAAGTAACTTTTGTACAAATTTTAAAGTATTCGTACCAAAACAATGTTTGTCTTTCATATACAGTGATTACGATTTAATAAGGCTTTAACAGAGACAGAAAAGCTGCAAAGTCCGCACCAGCAAGAAAATTCTCGTCTTAAGGAAGGCCAAATCGATGGTATTAGTAGTAGTAGAGAAGTACCGAAAAGAGTAATCGTGATCGCTTCGCTTGCGACATTGAAAAACAACCACATCAGCTCAATCGGCAGAGTTGGATTGTCGATCAGGTGCCAAGGTAAGAGAAATTCTCATGTCGGTGCAAATGCTTACGTGAGTCTTACAGCTAATAGCTATGATAGTATTCATGACTGAATCATGACCTTAATGAGATATTATTATTTTTTGTCAGTCGTCATACATAATTTACTCTGCATCGACCACCAATAAATTAATGAACGAGTAATACGAGTAATAGATAAGAATAATTGCAAGTATATGCAACAGTATAATTATGTTATATGACCGCAATATATGGGTTGACCCAATACTCAATTTATTATAGAACAATACATACACGTGAACAGTAATACATGTGTCGAATTAAAGTATATTGTTTCTATATATATTTACACACACAAAGTTGACTGGAATCTTATAGATAGGCTTATAGATAATTCTTCTAGTATGAGAAAGTGTTTTAAAGCATCAACCTTTCTTATAATAATCACTTAACAGCCAAAAAACAATAAAAGGGTAGATTAATACAAACAAGATGAATATCAGGATGCAACAGAATTTCATTTTGCCCTGGATAAGATAACTGGATATATCCACACCACCGAGTATGGAGTTCAGTGAATAGGCAGAACTCTGTATTTCCCGAGAAAGTTGTTCGGCTGTGAAACCGGAGATTGTTGCCGCTCTAATATTATGTTTTACTTCCTTTTCTATGGTCGATCTGTTCGTCGCATAAACCAACATTTCTAAACAAGACTTCTTAGCGAACTCTACACAATCATCCAATAAAACACTGTAACGACCAGGTGATGCTCTTAATCCGGCCAATTGGATGGCCACATTAGACAGACCAAAGTAGTGACCAATGAAATACGCTCTCTTGATTCGATTCTTCACGTTGACAAACGTAGTTATTTTCCATCTTATTCTATACATCTTGGCTAAAACATCTTCATAGCAGAGCTCCATTTGATGAACCAATAACAGTTCTGGAATATCCTCGGGTTTCGATGACATTTCTGGTCTCATTTTTAAAGGATCCACTATCTTATATGTGTCTCTATTCGGATGTGGTGACAATAAAATAAAGGCATGATACCCATCACTAACACAAATAAAAACATCAAAATCCATTTTCGATGCTGTCAGGAGCATGCCGTCAATTGAATTATTGTCTCGTTCTTTGAAAGCCATTACTAATCTTTTGTCCAAATCACTTACTACATTAACATGATATGCCAGTGGATCATAGCTCCTCAGTATTCTCTCAGACATACTGGTAACGATGGTGATGTGCTATTACTGATAACGATGGTGATGTCCTATTATGGTAAAATATATTTGGGTTAAACAATAAATTCTTCCTTCACGAAACATTAAATGCGATGTAGGTCACTGGTAATTCCCATTTTTCAGGCCTATTATGTACATTGTTTTACATAAAATTTACAGATCATAGAGTTAAAAATATCTAATCCTGTTTGTGTAACTATATGCATGCTGAAGTAAAAAATGATGATATCTATCGGGCCTAACTGAAATTGATCTGTTTCACCCTAGAAAGCACATATTTTTACATTATGATATCCCTTTAAGTAGGTTAAAAATTATTCGAGCATAAAAAATAAAGATATAATATCCTATTTCTTCTTGGTCTTTTTTTCAAAACTGATCTCTTCAAAATATGTCATTAGATCATATTTTTCGAAAACTATAAAAAAAAAGGAAGATATGTCTATGTTTTATACGGAAGCGTATTAGGGCCATTCATTTTTTTTTTTTTGAATTTTCAAGTTAGTATGTTGAATTTTCAGGTTAGTATGTTGAATTTTCAAGTTAGAATGTTGAATTTTCAAGTTAATAACACGAATTTTCAAGTTAGTTACTTGAATTTTCAAGTTAGTATCTTGAATTTTCAAGCTAGTATCTTGAATTTTCAAGCTAGTATGTTGAATTTAGTAACTTGAATTTTCAAGTTAGTAACTTGAATTTAGACTACAAACCTTTATATTTCGATACACACAAAGTTATTCTAAAACTATCGGTTTTGATACTGATATCCCAATGCAAATAAAGATAATTCGAAATTTGCGATTTGTTGACAAAAATAATAGAACGATAGAATGTAGGTCAGAATGCCATAAACCCCTTCTTTTTTATATTCTGTCAGGCTATTCGAAGTAGTGGACAGTCATACAGTTTAACATGAAAAAGGGATAGCTATAAAATTCAACCCATTACTCGACTTAAATGTATCACAAAATACGACAATGTCTAGGCTATATGGTGATTTGCTCAAGTTACTCCTCCATACAAATTCAAAAGATAATAACTGCGCATGCCTAGAATTTCAGAAACATGACTTCCTGTTCGAGTAGAATATTGACATGTGCGACAAAATCATCGAAATTCTTGCAGCATAATGGTAAGAACTAGTTATACTGTTTCAGAATTCAAAGATTAATTTTATAGCACAATAATGTTATTCTGTTGAAGGCAAATGCAATTAATCCTTTCCATTTACGTATTCTAAATGCATTATAGCTTTAGAAGGGAGGTAACTCTTTTGTTTTTATTACATTTACAAGATACCTTCTTGTTCCACTATACTCTTTTTACATAAATGTTTGTCAAAATCTGACTATGTTTTAATGACATTTTTTAAACTTATTATTCTTTTACAAATAAAGTTGGAATATTGGTCCATTAATAATGAATTGTCCTGATCGTTGTGAAGTGAATCTTGATCCTGACCTTGGCATGTTCACTTCAGAAAAAGTTGTTAAGACCACAGTAAATTTACAATTTAAAATTTGATCAGGTGATGACTGAGACACAGCAGTCTTGAATAGGATAAGGAATGTGTAGGTCTTCTGGTCACTTTCCTATCAATAGATGGTAAAGTTGTACAATTGGGTATTTTTGAATTTCAGCCCCAATTAAGATTCTACAATGTAGATGTAAAACATTACGTGGTCTTATGCCAAAAAGATTGTCTTTAAAACCTGAAGAAGTAGAAAAGTACAGAAAATCAAAGTTAATAGATCACCCAGATGTCCCAGTAGCAGAAAAAACGCAACGTGAAACAGTTCCAGCAGATTACAGGTTAGATTTCATTTTAACAATGTTTTTAAAATATGACCAAAGTAGGCCTATTTATATTTCTAAATTTTATTTATAGTTCTGTTTTGATATTTGTTTTTAGATTATAGAATAAATTAATTACTGTGCATATTTTCTAACTTTGCCCTTACAAGCTGATGATATATCTCACAGTCAGTTTCCCGATCATAAGGAACGTTTTATTGGAGATTATGCACATCTGAAATCTATTGGGGGATATTCATTCAATCTTAACTTTATTATCAATATAGATATTTTGCAGATATATCATTAATGATACATAATTTTGTTTAGATTTGTGTTTCCTGAATTTTTACCTGATCCTGAGTATGACAGACGAGATCGTGTCCGGGAGAGATTGGAACGTGATGATATGTACAGGAGGAGAATGGTCATAGAAATACCAGAGTTTTATGTTGGTATGCAACAACATCTGTTAATTTGTTTTATGCTAAATGACTCTTTATTACCGGTATCAGCCTTGTTAGTTTGTCTAATGTTGACTCAAATTAATTGCTTCTTATAAATTAAGTTTCAGCAATGTTTAATTTCACAATATATATTTTAAGTGTGATTTTATCATGCTATCATTATTAGTGATATTGGAATGTCTAATAGTCAATATTTGGCACTTAAAACTAGAATTTAGTGTGCTTGGAATACATTCTTAGTTTAGCAAATTTGAAAGTCTGTCATGATTCTGCCTGTCAAAGTTTACTGAAGTTCTAACCTGTCACAATACCTCTTTTCTACTGAAACTTTATGTTTTTGTGTATATTTTAGGTTCTATTATGGCTGTAACTATAGCAGATGAACAAACACCTTCTAAAGAAAGTAGATTTGTTGGTATATGTATTGATAGAGGTGGAATTGGACTAAGAGCTTTCTTTATTTTAAGGAATGTTGTTGATGGACTAGGTAAGCGACTATTCACTATACCTTAAACAATGTAAATCAATTAAATAAAAGTCTGCATAATTTGAAAAAATAATACAAAAATCAGTTAAGATAATATGATCTTCCTAAAAAGTGACAAATATTAAACAAAACCAGGAACTAACAGAGTGTACTTGAAGTGAAATGAAGATACAAGTTTACAGTGCAATATTGATTTATTTGACCAAGTTTTATAAAAGCATGATGGTTATAAGAAATTTATTACAAATATTATTATAAATACATCCAGTGAATTTATTCTAATTTGGTAAATCTTTATTACAGGTGTAGAAATAATGTATGAAATGTATGATCCGACTGTTTTATCAATAGAAACATTACTGCTAGAGAAAAGATTAGACAATCATCTATACTATTTGCGTGATGCTCCCCCAGAATATAGCACATTTTCATTTGATACAGAAGCCATCCCTATACCAAAAGGAACAGCTATACCAGTCAACCCACTGAAGGTAATATTATGTAGTACATTGTTGTGTTAGGATGTATTGAGACAAGTCACAATTAAAAGATCTTTATACTAACAAGTTTTGACAAGGTGAAATTAAGCATTATTAGCTGATGAATTAAATACATGTTATTAAATGATGTAATCTCTTGAAATTGAAAGGGTCATTTTACATTGTACATCATACTGTATATTCACACTCAACCAACCTCTGTAATAAATACAGATGATTTAAATTCAATCATTGAATGCTCATACCATTTATTATTCAGGTGAAATTAAATCCACGGCCCTGGCTAGAGAGGTGGGAAAGACAGGACTTAAAAGGGATCCAGGAGTTGAATTTACCACAGAAATTCTATGATAGAGCTGAAATTCATGCTGAAAAACCATGGCAGAAACATGATTTAATGAAACAATATAGAAGCAATATAAATGCTGATGATACAGAACAAGTAATGAAAGAAGTGCATCAACGTAAGAAGGCTATTGACAGAGAAAATACCAGGCGTAGAAAAGAGGCTATATTTAAAAATAAAAAGTAACTGGACTATTAGAGTTTAAATAATGTTTAATGAGAGTGGGACATCAAGAGTTAAAGATTGCTGTGTCATCACTTTTATATTGCTTTAATACATAAAATAAAGTCATTTATAAGCTTGGTTATTATACTGTATAAAAAATCAAAATAGCATACCTATCATTACTTATGTTTGATTGAGAATGCCTCCATTTTGGAAAGATGAAAATCATAGCATCAATGTCTTAATATCCAAATTCTGTTTGATCTGTTTTGACCTATATATGTATGGAAGGGGATAAAAAGTGACAAAAGAATGATGTAAACCAATGTTTGTACCTGTAAATTGTAGTTATCTCCATTGCAGTAAAAAATAAACTAAAGGGATAATAAACGTTTTCTTGCTTTTTTCATGAACACGGGGTACGCAATATAAAGCTCTATTTATAACAATTAAGATTGTGTTCTAAAACTAGAGTTGTGTACCTTGATGTGCAATTTTACAAACCGCAGATACTTGCGAGAATCTGAAAATCACACAGTATGTTCTTCCTTCAAACATGTATTATCACTTGCACACGGCTACTAACCACATACCAATCAAAACGTTTCACTCTTTTGTGACAAGAGTCGGACTAAGACTCTCGATTACGAACAATTTTTGTTAAAAATTATGAAAGCCTAACTCCTTAAAGGAAATTAATATAAGATAAGCGGGCGCAGAGCCAGATGACTTTTGCTGTCTCTGGGTTATCAACCGATTTCCGTCTATACTTAACTATCAAAAGCCAAAAAGAAAGCAACTTTTGGGCTGTTTGGGGTGAAAACAAAAGCAAATTGTTTTTTCCCAGAATTCGAAATGCTATCTGGCACCGAAACCAATACTTGATATAGCAAATTCATACAAATATTCATATGTTGATGTGCTTATATCTGAAATAACAATAGGTTAGAGAAAAGACATTGCTCTAATTAGATTTGGGACCGGTGCGACTCACTAAATGAACTGTATGAACTGACCGTATGATTGGAAAGAATTTGGTTAAATACACAATATAAAATGTTTTGTACGTGATAGGAACACTGACAAGAAATCTAATACTGATAACTATGAAATATAACCATATTGACAGTGATCCGATTTGATCTTTTCTTTTGAGAACTTTATGCGGACGTCTGACTTTGTCTACCTCTGACTTTGTCTACCTCTGAATAAGTTCCAATTCCAACGCAAGACCGTTTAGTGAATAAATGGACCGCTCCATTCTTAATCTTTTGGTATTTTTGGTCTATGTAATCGAGGATATATACCAGATATTAAGGAAGACTATTAGATATATACAACCTTTTTGATGGTAGCTTCTCAATTCTCACCATTATTCAGTGAGTTTGCTCAGTAGGCTATTTTAAGAACATTCCACAATAGAAATTTTACAAGTTTTTCTGATAATAAAGTTTGTATTTTATTTCTAAGATGTGCTAACAGTAAACAGTGAACTCTTGTTAATTGAATTTACCACTTTGTCGACTTTTTGAGCCATAAAACATACCAGTAACATAAGGGTGAACTATACTCCCAATTTTCCCGCGCTTTGTTAAAAACGACTCCACCCCATTCACAAACCACAGTGTTTATGTCACGTGGCTTCAAAGCAATACCTTTACCGTTGAGTAAAGAAGGTAACATGACAGTGACTAGAAAGTAAAATAAAGAGTTGGATTTATCTGAATAGGAACAGACTAGTTATGATATAAAAATGGAATACACTTGATATACCTGTGATATTTTATACAATATGTATTGTAACAGTCAAGTTTTACCTGGGAATAATTCCTTTATACCTGTCAATGGATAATCAGCTCAATTTGTCTTCTATAAAGATGACTAAATATGATTGAGAAAATTCTAGCCCTGATTTTAATTTTGATTATAACAGTATTGAGGAGTTATACAGTTACTGGTGTCAAGTTTGATTTAGGTAAGTGCAGTTGTATTGTATTCTAATTTCAGTCATGACAATGTCAATAATTTATGAGGTGATACGGTAAGAGGCTTGAATAATATTTATATTGGAACGTATTCAGTTCAGTTTTAATCCGGAAGTTTCTCTATAAGGGTCAATGCACACTTTGATTAGATGTAAAAAAAAAACAGACCGGACGTATGCTACAAGAAGGTAGCCATAAATGCAGATCATTTCTAATAATTGAAATGCAATGGATAAATAAAATCTAATCAAAGAATATTCTCTTCTCACAATGTGTTAAAATGGAAACTTGCCTGAAATTTGTTGTTAAGCAAGCTGGCTGCTTTAAGCAATACATTCAAGTCCAGCTTGTTTCTGTGATTCTTCTATTTTAGGTAGGGTATTGTACATACAATTCTGATGATAATATTATAGTTGTATGCAATTAGGTATAATTGTATATATATTTTAGTTGTATTCAATTAGGTATTATTGTATATATATTATTGTTGTATTCAATTAGGTATAATTGTATATATATTATTGTTGTATTCAATTAGGTATAATTGTATATATATTTTAGTTGTATTCAATTAGGTATTATTGTATATATATTATTGTTGTATTCAATTAGGTATAATTGTATATATATTTTAGTTGTATTCAATTAGGTATTATTGTATATATATTATAGTTGTATGCAATTAGGTATAATTGTATAGTTGTATGCAATTAGGTATAATTGTATAGTTGTATTCAATTAGGTATAATTGTATATATATTTTAGTTGTATTCCATAAGGTATAATTGTATATATATTATAGTTGTATTCATTTAGGTATAATTGTATATATATTTTAGTTGTATTCAATTAGGTATTATTGTATATATATTATAGTTGTATGCAATTAGGTATAATTGTATATATATATTGTAGTTGTATTCAATTAGGTATAATTGTATATATATTATAGTTGTATTCAATTAGGTATTATTGTATATATATTATAGTTGTATGCAATTAGGTATAATTGTATAGTTGTATGCAATTAGGTATAATTGTATAGTTGTATTCAATTAGGTATAATTGTATATATATTATGGTTGTATTCAATTAGGTATAATTGTATATATATTATAGTTGTATGCAATAAGGTATAATTGTATATATTATATTATAGTTGTATGGTCTATGGGAGTGTCAAAATATGACAGTTCAATTTGTTATTTTGATCTTAACTTCCAAGACCATTTTCAGAGTAGTATCTTGAAATGTGATTCTAACGCTATTAAAATAAAGAGATAAATGCAATGTATTTGGTAATAGACTAGCACTAGTCAGATTAAAATTCAGAAAGTGATACAGGTTCTCTGAGATAATAAGAAATTTGGAACATAACAACTTCAGATATAGGTGTGTACTTCACATATAATTAGAGAACAACTACATGAGTTAAACATTGATCATTTGTTTGTGGAATAGTTTACTATTAACCAGAAACCTGACAGGGTCTTTTAAAATTTTTATTCATAATATTATATCCTTGCCAACTTTAAATGATGTATGATATAAGTTTATCTAGATTGTGTTAAATGCAGCAAGTCTAATAGAGATATTATATCTAGTGATCTAATTGTATCACCTGTAATAATTACCTGTTTTATATCATACTCAATTCATTATAATATTGACAGATTGAGCACTGTTGGAATCTTTTAATCACTGCTGGGGGTCCAACACACTACCTGTCATATTACCCACTTTATGATAATAGATGGTCAATAACCTCTGATATCATTTTATTGCCAACACATTAGATGTTGCCAAAGAAACAATACATTAACATTGCATAGATTGGAGAAAGGGGTCAAGCTTAGCTGGTGAAGTTCTTAAGGCTTTGAAGGAACAGATGACAGCTTTGCTTTTCTGCATTTGTGAATTCAGATTTCAGACTTATTGCTCTTTGCCTTTGATTTGAGTTTATCTGGATGAGCTCTGATTTGAAGGATGTTGTCAGTTGCAAGGAACATACCTTGCTACATGATATTGATGTCAAATTGTAAAATCATTATTTTCATGAATATGTAATGTACTTTTTCATATTTCTAAAAAAAAACTTTCAAATTGGAAATACTGATTATGAAGATAAACAAACCCAATTTTAACTTCTTACTGATATGTAATGATTCTCAATTGACATCCTGTTTCGATAGAAAACAATCTTGTGGTTAAACTACCAATTCTCTTTTGTAAAAAGGTTACAAAGAGCATGTTGTACAACTTCAAAGTAAAATTATTGAGACACTTTTGCAAAAAAAATATTATCTATAAATCAAATTGGATGTAAAGTGGCCCAATACTAGTACATTGATATAGTCATTTAGAACATGCACTGAGAAGTTTGTATGGGTATTTTTTTCTATTTGAAGACCTGTATGTCCTGTGGAAATATGTGTAAGATATGTATTTAATGATATGTAAATATTCAGCCCTAGGGATAATAAGTCCATGGTTTGATTCATGTTTATATTCAATCACAGATCAGACAAATTTAATTTACACAATTTGCCTTCAAGTCATATCTTTCTTATGTTATTGTTAATTTTTAATGATCTTTTCAAGACACAAATCAATCTCCATCTTCAATGTAATAGAACCCAATAAATAACAATGTTTTAACAAATTTTTCATTAACTGAAAAAAAAAAAAATATGTTGTAGGTGGCTTCTGTATGGCCCCTTCAGCAATAGCTACTGTTACAGGAAATGGATCCTTATGATGGCATCGGGAACGTTAAGATGATTTGTCCAGGAGTAGTAAACTGTTTTCATATGTAATGATATCCCTGATTGGAGAGGCCTCCCTTAATGTAATTATCTCAATTCTTCAAATTAATATGTATTAAATTGAATGTAAGTTCATCTTAATTTAATATTAGCCAACCCTCAACTTTTTATTTTGAACTGTACTATTTGATGTAGTTGAAGACCGCAGCCCTAAAAGGAACAACCTGATGGTGAAGACTTTATTTAGAAGTGAAATAGAATTAAAATGGTATTAATAGAACATGAGAGACTATTGATATGAATAGAGAGGTCATAGTAAAATGTCAACTAATGTTCTTCAGATCTTAATCAACTATTTCAAATCTTAAACACACCTTTATTCAATTTTCTACAGTACAATGTCTCCCTCCTTCAACCTTCACAATGATTAGAATGGACATGGGCTGACCTGTAATATGAGATTTCTGTAGAGGGCTGTATTCTTCTATTATTCTTAACTTTATTTTTTCAGTTTGAAATTTCAGTATTGTTAGATTATGTTCCTTATGTCATAGTTTGTTCAAATATAACCTTTAAGATTTAATCAGGCACACAGATGAATTGTTATATTCACAGCAGAATCATATCTGCTTTTTGA